TTTCTTTAATCCTCACAACAACCAGGATTCGTACCCCCATTTTAAGAATGAAGAAGATCCTAAAGCCTAGGGAAGTTAACTTTCCCAAGGCCACATTGCTAGTGAGTGAAGGCCACCAAGGGTTGAAGTGTGGGATGAGCAGATGAGGAAGACCAAAGAGATTCAAGCAGAGGGTACCACTCAGTCCACACACTAAGAACCTCATGAGCAAACACTGTGCTAGGCCTGGGGGTGGGAGAATAAAATAAGGTAAATATAATACAGCACAGGATGCAGTCCTTGCTTGTCTGCAGTTTATCATCTGGGTGGGGAGGCAAGACATAAGACTGTAAGAAATTAAGACATGCCGGTCCCGGTCCGGTACGGGCACGACACTGAGAGTTGCGATCCGTTGCCGGTCACGAAAAAAGACAAAAAGGAAAAAAAAAAAAAAAGAAATTAAGACATAACATGAAATGTGCAGAAACCTGATTTTATTAGACTGCCTTGGGTTTAAATCAGAGTTATGCTATTTCCTAGTTGTGTGACCTTGAGAAAGTCACTCCACCTCTCTGAATCTCAGCTTCATTTATAAAATGGAGATTAAAAATAGTTACTACCTCCTAGAGCTATTGGGAAGGTCCCTTTGTTACTGACTTATTTCTGTTAGCATAATGTCTTCAAGGTTTATCCGTGTTGTTGCATGTATTAGAATTTCCTTCCTTTTTAAGACTGAGTAATATTCGATTGTAAGTATATATTCACATATTGTGGTTTTTTGTTTTTGTTTTTTTAAAGATGACCGGTAAGGGGATCTTAACCCTTGACTTGGTGTTGTCAGCATCACGCTCTCCCAAGTGAGCTAACCAGCCATCCCTATATAGGGATCCGAACCCATGGACTTGGTGTTATCAGCACCACACTCTCCCAGATGAGCCATGGGCCAGCCCAATATATCACATATTGTTTATTCATTCATCTGTTGATGAACATTTGGGTTTCTTCCATCTTTTGGCTATTGTGAGTAATGCTGCTGTTTTAGTACGTTTTGTGTTGCTATAACAGAAATACCTGAGACTGGGTAATTTATAAAGGAAAGAGGTTTATTTGGCTTATGATTCTGGGACAGCTGCATCTGGCATGGGCCTCAGGCTGCTTCTACTCATGGTGGAAAGTGGCAGGCAGCCAGCAGGTACAAGCAGATCACATGGTGACAGGAAGCAAGAGAGAGGAAGCAAGAGAGAGAGAAGAAGCCAGGGTCTTTTTAAGCAACGAGCTCTCACGGGAACTAATTGAGTGAGAACTCACTCATCAGTTCCCCCTCCCCCAGGGAGAGCATTAATTCATTCATGAGGGATCTGCCCCTATGACTCAATCAGTTTCCAACACTGCCACATTAGAGATCAAATTTCCACATAAGTTTTGGAGGGGACAAAACATCCAAACTCCATCATTCTGCCCCTGGCCCCCCAAAACTCATGTCTCTCTCACATACAAAATACAATCATTCTATCCCAACAGTCCCAAAAGTCTTAGCTTGCTCCAGCACCAACTTAAAAGTCCGAAGTCCAAAGTCTCATCTTAGACCCAAAGCAAAAGTCCTTCCAGCTGTGAACCTGTACAAACAAAACCAAATTTCGCCATGGGCTCGGCCCAGCCAGTGGGTACAAGCAGATCACATGGTGAGAGGAAGCAAGAGAGAGGAAGCAAGAGAGAGAGAAGGTGCCAGGGTCTTCTCAAGAAATGAGCTCTCACGGGAACTAATAGAGCAAGAACTCACTCATTAATCCCCCCTCCCCCAGGGAGAGCATTAATCCATTCATGAGGGATCCGCCCCCATGACTCAATCAGTTTCCAACACTGCCACATTGGAGATCAAATTTCCACATGAGTTTTGGAGGGGACAACACATCCAAACTCCATCAGCTGCTATGAATATGGATGCACAAATATCTGTTTGAGTTCCTGCTTTGAATTCTTTGGGGTATATACCCAGAAGTGGAATTGCTGGATCATATGGTAATTCTATCTTTAATTTTTTGAGGGAATGCCTTACTTTATTCCTCAGCAGTTACACCATTTTACATTCCCACTGACAACATCTTTTAAAATATTACTTTCAGGGGCCGGCCCTGTGGCTCACTCGGGAGAGTGCGGTGCTGATAACACCAAGGCCAAGGGTTCGGATCCCACATAGGGATGGCCGGTTCGCTCACTGGCTGAGCATGGTGCTGACAACACCAAGTCAAGGGTTAAGATCCCCTTACCGGTCATCTTTTAAAATATATATATATATATTACTTTCAGGACAAATTGACTAGATTTAAGGAAGGCAAGAGTGGATGCAGGGGCTAGCCAGTTAGCTCAGATGGTAGAGCATGGTGTTATAAAACCAAGGTCAAGGTTTCAGATCCCTATACTGGCTAGTCACAAAAAAATTTTTTTTAAAGTGGACACCTTGCAATCAACTAGGTGAGAGATGATGATGGCTTGGATCTACATAGTAGTAGTGGAGGTGGTAAGAAGTGACTAGATTCTGGTTTTGTTTTAAGGACAGAGCCAACTGGATTTGGTGAGGGATTAGCCTTGGAGTATGAAAGAAACTGAGGACTCAAGGATAACTCCCAGGTTTCTGGCTCGAGCACCTGGAGGAATGAGCTTGCCATTTACAGAAGTGGGGAAGTTTGCAGGAAGTTGAGGTGGACACATCAGGAGTTTGTTTTGGGACAGGTTAAGTTTAACATGCCTATTACACACCCAAATAGACATACTGAGCCTGATGTTTAGAGAAAATGTGTGGGTTGGAGGGAAAATTTGAGAGTTGTCAGGCATATACATGGCATTTAAAATCATGTGATTTGATGAGATCATCTGGGGAATGAATGATTATAGACATTAAAGGGAGAGTGCCAAAGACAGCCCTATCCCTGAGAATGTCCCATTCCAGCAACAAGAAGGGCCATGAGAAAACAGCAAAGAACACCAAGAAGGAGACGGCAGTGAAGGAGGTAAGAAGTCAGGAAGGCATGGGGTCTTGGAAGCCAAGTGAAGAGAGTGTTTGCAGGAGGAGGAAGTGGTCAGCTTTGTCAAGTAAGATACCAATGGTTCAAGTAAGACGAGGATTGAAAATCGGCTGTTGCCGGGCCGGCCCGGTGGCGCACTGCTACAGTGCGCCGCTTGGGAAGCACAGCGGCGCTCCCGCCGAGGGTTCGGATCCCACATACAGACTGGCCGCTCACTGGCTGAGCGAGGTGCGGGGGCAGCGCCGAGGGTTGCGATCCTGTAGCCGGTCCCGGTCCGGTACGGGCGCGACACTGAGGGTTGCGATCCGTTGCCGGTCACGAAAAAAGACAAAAAGGTAAAAAAAAAAAGAAAAGAAAATCGGCCATTGCCAACATGGTTGAGCTTGGAGGACATTATGTTAAGTGAAATAAGCCAGGAACAGAAGGAGAAATACCACATGTTCTCATTCATATGTGGAAGCTAAGAAAGTTGATCATATAGCAGTAGTGAGCAGAATAGTGGTTACCAGAGGCTGGGAAGGGGAGGGGAATATTGAGAGGCTGGTTAACAGACACAAAATTACAGCTAGATAGGAGGAATAAGATCTAGTGTACTGTAGGGTGCACTGTGGCGCGACTATAATTAACAACAATTTCTTGCATACTTTCGATTAGCTAGAAGATTTTGAATGTTCCCAACACAAAGAAACGATAAATGTTGGAGGTAATGGATATATTAATTAACCTGTTTGATCATTATACATTGTAAACATGTATTAAAATATCACACAGTACCTCATAAATATGTACAATTATTATGCGTCAATTAAAAATTTTAATAATCAAATAAAATTTAAAATAAAAAAGTTTAAAAAAGAATGGTCGTGAAAGCTCAAGACCCTGTCTCCATAAAAACTTAGAGAAAAAAAAATGAAGATTGGCCATTGCTCTTGGTGACCCTAACGAAAGTTATTTCAATGCATTCTGGAAAAGCAAAAACCTGACTGCAGTGAATACAAGAGAGAAGAGAGTTGGAGACAGTGACTCTAGGCATCTCAGGGGTTTTGCTGTAAAGGGGAGTAGGGTGTGGGGTCCGGAGAGGGATGTTTTTTGTTTGCTTCCTTCTAAAATGGGATTAACAGCATGTAAAATGACAGAAATAATCCTGTAAGGAGGGAAACAAGTGAATATGGGGGAGGGGTGAATTACTAGAGCCACTTCCTTAGGCAGACAAGAAGCTATGGGATCCAGTGCGCAAGTGAAGGGGTAGACCTCAGCGAAACTGCATGCTTGCAGGAGGAAAGGCAACGCATGTGGGCACAGATGCAGGTACTAGATGAGGCGGAGGGAGCTATGGAAGCTCTCTCTCTCTTTCCCTACCAAATTCAGTGGAAAACTCAATCCCCCTCCTCCAGGAGGTCTCCGGATTTCTCTGGACCACATCCAGCTCGCATTGTTCTGAGCTGGGCCACAAGTAACAGAATTTGTATCTGTTTCCCCAATATCCTGGGAGCCCGCCAGAGACTGCATCGAATTCGCCTCCGAATTTTTCTCCACACTCCTGCCAGCTCCGGCCTAGAGCCCCGCAGTCTGCGATCGCTGAATTGCCCGAAGACACCAGGCAGCTGCTACGCGGCTGTTTTCACAAAGGGGGGAGGTCCCACGGGATCCAGAAGTTCGAGCTCCAGTCCGGCTCCCTCCCGTCCTCCCCTCGGCTCCCAACTCTCCGCCGTCCAGCTAGCGCGCCGATCAGGGCGCACGGAAGCCACCGTAACGGATGTCAGCTGCTACGGACAGAAGAGTCGAGGTTGGTGGGGGTGGGGCCTGAGGACAAAACTGAATGAGGATTGGACCGAGCGCCCAGGGGGCGGGGTTTAGGGGCCTACTCTGGACAGGACAGGACAGTGCTCCGGGGGGCGGGACCTAGAGATGGAGCGGAGCCGCGATTGGGCTGAGGGCGGTGCCGACGCAAGAATCGGGCCGAGCGCTCCTGGGCGGTGCTTGAGGGGGCGGTGCCGTGTCGGAAGTCAAAGGTCAGTAAATAGTGGTGATGTCATGAGGCAAGATGGCGGAAGGGTGAGCTTGTCGTTCTGCTTCCAGGCGTTGGGGCCTGAATTCTCCCAGGGTTGGGGTGCTGGGCCAGGGTCCCTGAGGGGAACAGGAGGTCAGCGCGGGCGAGGACAGAGTTGAAAGGGCGGAGTGGAGTCTCAGTGTGAAGGGGCGGGGAAGCGGCCTACGAAGCCTCGGCCCGCGGGCCACTTCTGAGGGGGAAACTAAAACCCTATCATTGGGCGGGTAGGAGTCGCACCGCGGGGCAGCCAGATGTGTCTGTCTTCCACAGAGAGGACGTGGGATGGTGGCGGAGCTGGCTGCAGCAGAGCTATCAGGCGGTCAAAGAGAAGGTAAGCCGGGCCAGCGCCCTTCCCCCGGCAGGGCCCCGAGCCGCCTCCTTGCAGCCTTGTCCGACCAGCCGCGCCCGCACGGGCGCTGGGCCTCAAGGAAGAGGCCTGCTTGTCGCTCCTACCTGTCCACGGGAGGACAGACCCCGGCGCAGACCAGTATGATACTAGCCACAGTGAAATAAGAATTGTTTTAAAGGCTGGAGAGACTCTTTCGTAGGAATCCATGAGAAGGAGCAGTTTATTCCAGCTCGAGAAATTCACAACTTCTTCGTGAAAGAGAGAACATTTGATATAGGCCTTGAAGAAAAAGGATTCTAGCAATGAAAAAATTTACTCCTATAGTCATTCAAATATTAGAGTATATGCCACAACCAGCACTCTTTGATCCTGAGGATACAGACGTTAGCCAAACAGGTGCAATCCTGGGCCTCACAAAGATCACAGTCTGGTGGGGAGACAGCCATTGACCAAATAGTCAAGTAGCTATTTAATTACTTTTGTGGTAAGAGCTGTGAAAGGAAAGTACCAGGGCACCTTGTCTAGTCTGGTTAGTCAAGATAATGCCAGGGACGGCGACCTTGGGGAAGGAACCTCGTGGAGACCAACCCTGCCTAGATAGGATGAAAAGCAAGAACCCAAGCCAGAGATGAGCATGAGGCATAGGCACTGGTGCCTGATGAGTTTTGAGTTAGGAGTTTGCAAAGAGGGGCAGAGAGAGAGAGATTGATGGCCAGAGGGGGGCCTTGAATGGCTTACTAAGCAATCTCTATAGGATGAGCGATGGTTGGCTCTGTCAGTGGGAAATGCCAATATATGTTCCTGTTTCATTTCACTCTAGTTTGTCAAACCAGCCCAGCTGAAGTGTGAAGAAAGTTAATTACTATTTACCTCAAACAACTGGGGTGAGTCCTGCTTCAGGACAGACTCCAGGAGGCTTCTGACCTCAATTAAATCGGTCTCCTACTCTGGGAGCATTTTTTTTTTTCCTTTTTGTCTTTTTTCATGTCCGGCAATGGATCGCAACCCTCAGTGTCGCGCCCGTACTGGACCGGGACCGGCAACGGGACCGCAACCCTCGGTGTTGCGCCCACACCTCGCTCAGCCAGTGAGCGGGAACTGGTCTGTATGTGGGATCTGAACCCTCGGCGGGAGCGCCCCCGCACTCCCAAGCGGCGCACTGTAGCAGTGCGCCACCGGGCCAGCCCCTCTGGGAGCATTTTTTGATTCTTTCTTTTTTTTTCCCCTTATCAGCCACACAGAATCTGGGAGCACTTTTATTCCTCCCCTGGCCTAGGTATTCCTGAACAGCCTCTCAGCTTCAACCCAGCAAACCTGAAAACGCCGTGAGCTGTTTGTGTTGTTGATGAGGACTAGAGAGAGGATTTCATTCTTAAGATTTAGCAGAAGAGACCCCAAAGTAGTGTTTCCTGTCAAGCAATTTCCTGGATGGAAAGTCTGACATTCATTCAGCAAATTTGTGTGAGGGCCTTCTGTGTGTTTCCCTCAAAACTGGTCTTACCATAACTCATGAAAAATAATAGTTCAGACTTCCATCTTTGTTCTTAGGGAATTCCCAGTTTGACACAGGGGAGTGGATGGTGTTTCTGCCTTTTTGGAAAGAGAAGACTTAATTTCCCTCTTAGCTACTTACTCTTATATGAACTTGGATAAGTTATTTAACCTGTCTAGGCCTCAGTTCCTCATCTGTAAAATGGGAATTCTAATAGCTACAATGGAATTGTCATGAGGATTAAATCATAATATATGTAAAGTACTAAGAATAACATCAAACATACAATAAGTACTATATAGGCATTAGCTATTTTTATTAATTGCTGAGGGTTATGGGGAAACCTCTTAGATATCACCACCAGTCCGTTTTTCCTTTTTTTTTTTTTTTCGGTCTTTCGATGCTTTCCTGGTTTTGCTTCCCATCCTGGCTCTATCTGGACCACTCACTTCCCAGCACCCTCGATTCTCTCGTACCCCTTAGCATACATTGCCTTGGAGACTATACCTCTGAGATGTGCTATACTCTGCCTTCCTCTGCTCCTTCCCTCCTGTTATTATGTTCTCCTGTGTACACACATGAGTGCTTGTGCCTACAAACTGATAGAGAAAGGCACATTGCTCTTTGGCTCCATCACAGAGTTCCCAACCTCAATCTGGGTTCAAGCACTCCCCACTAAGCCTTTCAGTCTCTAATTTGCTTCTTCTCCCCCTGACTTCAGAAATTTTCCCAAAACCTGACTCTTCTCTGAAGTCCCCTGTTCAACCACCTCATCCCTTTTACTTCCAAGAGACAACCTCACCTACTTTAGGAAATTTGAAGTCAACAAGCATGATCTCTCTTACTCCCTTCCCACTCCTGCCACCACCTATAATCTTATCTATATTCACACTCAGCTTCACTTACCATCTGCCAAATCCCATGGGTAGTTTTTAGCCTTATCTTCCTAGACCTTTCTGCTGCATTTGTCAAATGATCACTTGTTTGTTTGGGGTTTTTTTTCCTCTCAAAGCTCTCTCGGCTTTTGTTACATGATTCTTTCTCGATTCTCCACATACTTCTCCAGACTTTCCATTCTTGTTTCATGAGTTCGTCTTCCTCTGCCTGCCTCTTTAAAGTGGTGTCCTGAGGACCCTTGTTCTCAGCCCACTGCTCTGTTTATTCTACAAACTTTTCCTGGGTGACCTTCTCCACTTTCATGTTAGGCTGACTCCTAGTCCTTTATTTCTGAGCTTTAGTGTTTGAGGATCGCTGCTGCTGGACAACTGTCTCAAATCCCTTAGTCACTTCAGATTTTATGTGCCCAAAGTCATTATCACCATCTTCTCTCTAAAGCTGCTCCTCCTCCAGTGATTCCTTACTTAGCTGGCAGCACTACATCTACTCAGTCACCTATTTTAGCAGCCAGTGGCTCTTTCTTGATTCTTGTCCTGCCTTCAATCAACGTGTCTATTTAATCACCAAATCCACCTTTTTTGCCTAGTATTTCTTGAACCAGTCGCATCTTCTCCATCCTTACCAGCTCTGTCCTTATTCATATTCTTCTATTTTCTTTCCTGAAGTATTGCAACAGCCTCTGACTGGTCTTCCTCCCCCTTCTTTTTTTTTTTTTTTTTGTGTGTGTGTGACCAGTAAGGGGATTGCAGCCCTCGGCTTGGTGTCGCCTGCACCGCACTCAGCCAGTGAGCACACCGGCCATCCCTATATAGGATCCGAACCCGCGGTGGTCGCGATCCCATTACCGGTCAGTAAAAAAGACAAAAAGGAAAAAAAAAAAAGAAAAGAAGAAGGCTGGCTGATTAGCTCAGTTGGTTAGAATGTGGTGCTAAGAACACCAAGGTCCAGGATTCAATCCTTGTTACCAGCCAACTGCCAAAAAAAAAAAATGAGAAGATGTAAAGGGGAGCCAGCCAAGCCTGAGGAGGCATCAGGGAAGGTTCTTGAGGGAAGTGACATTGAAGCATAGACCAGAAGGATGAATGGGAGTTAGCCAGGTGAAAGGGTTCATTCATTGTGTTTGCTTGTTTGTTTTGAAGAGTTAGACCTACGTCAGGGAGAGGAAATAATGTGTTCACATACCCTGAAGTAGGAAAGATGCTAGAGCATTTGAGAAGCTTGAGGAAGGCCAGCTGGAGCTCGGTGAGGGGCACAGTGGTAGGGCATGAGAGTCTGACGGAGGCCTTATTGTATAGGCCTTGTGAGTGAAGATGAAGGTTTTATACTTGCTCTTAGGATAGTGTGTAAACATTGAGGAATGTAAAGCCGGGTGGGGGGGGGGGGCAGGGTAATCTGCCCTTACTGACAAAGCACTGACTGGATGTCATCAGGAAAATGAAGTAGAGTTATCTGAAACAACCTGGGAGGAGTCCAGATAAAAGAGTAGGTTGGCCTGGACTCAGGTGGTAGCAGTGTGGGTGGAGAGAGTGAATTAATAATTGACCCCTCCACCGCCAGTTAAGGAGTCCCGAATGTGAGACAGAGGCATGATTCCTGCCCCCGGAGAAGCCTCTAGTTGATACATGAGACAGTCCCACTTTCCCAGTCATCTGGGATGAAAAGTACCAGGCCCTTCCCAGAAGAATAAACCACCAGAACACTGAAAAACATTCTTTTAAAAATGCAGGTGACTATCCCTGTGTAAAATGAGAGGGCTTGCAAGGGGAGCACAGAGGGAGTCCAGGAAGGCATCCTAGAGCGGTGAGTATGAAGCAAGACAGAGCAAGACTTAGGAGAGCTGAGGGCCTGAGTGCAGAGTGAGAAGCAGATTGGCTTGAGATGAGCAAATGTCAATTCTGCCCAAAGGAGCTTTGGATGAATAGAACCCTGGAATGGTGGAACCAAGAAGGCCTTAGAGAGAATCTGATCTAGTATTTCTCTTGACCCTTTCTCCCTTTGTTGAATGTAAAAATCACATACATTTTTACTGATATTAAGTTGTCAAGAATTACTCATAAAAACTTTTCCAGGGCCGGCCAGGTGGTGCACTCGGTAGAGTGCGGCGCTTGGGAGCGTGGTGGCGCTCCCGCCGAGGGTTCGGATCCCATATAGAGACCGGTCCGCTCACTGGTTGAGCGCGGTGCGGGCGCGACACTGAGGGTTGCAATCCCGTTACCGGTCACGAAGAAAGAGACAAAAAAGGAAAAAAATAAAAACTTTTCCAAACTATTTTTCTTACTAGTATTCTTACTAATGCAACATTTTATTAAACCTGAAGATAATGTCACATCCTGCCTAATATTTCTTTTTTTTTAAAGATGACCAGTAAGGGGATCTTAACCCTTGACTTGGTGTTGTCAGCACCACGCTCTGCAGTGAGCTAACCGGCCATCCCTATATGGGATCCGAACCCGTGGCCTTGGTGTTCTCAGCACCACACTCTCCCGAGTGAGCCACGGGCCAGCCCCCTGCCTAATATTTCAACTCAATTTCCCTGTAACAGAAATAAGTGAAAATAGAAATACTTTCCTTTGATGAAAAAATCACACACCTTTTCTATTTTATTTGAAATTTGAAACATATCTTGACTTAAAGCATATCAAAGCAATTTGTTAAAGTCTTTCATTTTCACACTATATGTGCCCATCCCCTTCCGCTGTCTGCTCTTGAGAATCTCTGATCTAGTCCACCTTCCTCATTTCATGGGAGAAAGCTGGGCACTTGATGAAACTTACTCATGGCCACATAGCTTATGAGTGCCCGGGGTGAGGTTTTGCCCCCGTGCTCAGAGCAGGAGGAGTTGCCCTGCACTCTCTGCTGTCAGCTAATCCCAGGTCATGGAATTGGGACAAGTGAGCATTGTTTCCAAGCCCAGGCTCTCCGTGTCACTTGAGATTTCCATGTGTCTGTCTGGTACTGTAGAAGCACAGGGATAGGGAACAACGGGTGGTGGGGCCCACTGGCTCTATCACTTTTCTCTGTCTTCCCATAGTCCTCTGAAGCCTTGGAGTTCATGAAGCGGGACCTGACAGAGTTCACCCAGGTGGTGCAACATGACACAGCCTGCACCATCGCAGCCACGGCCAGCGTGGTCAAGGAGAAGCTGGCTGTGAGTACTGCCCACACTCTCCCAGTGACTGCCCTCACAGCTTGACCTTCTCTGAGATCCTGGTGGGGGCTTCTAACCCCCCCCCTGGGGAAAAATATGGGGATTATTTTCCCTCCCATTTTGAAAGAATTGTGTCTGTCAAGCAAACAAGCTATATTAAGTAATTAGCTTTCCCATTTCTACATTGTTTTAACAGATGTTTTGTATTTAGCAAAGTTATTCATTATAGATAATTTAGAAAATACAGATGGAGGCTGGCCAGTTAGCCCACTTGGGAGAGCATAGTGCTGATAACACCAAGTTCAAGGGTTCGGATCCCCTTACTGGTCAGCTGCCCCCAAAAAAGGAAACTACAGATAGGTAAAAGAAAAGACCTAGAGACACCCATAATTCTATCTCCCAGAAATAACTACTGTTAATATCTTGGGTGGGGGGAATATATTCCTTATGTACACTTTCTTTTTCAGAACTGGGGTCAGCTGAATACTGTGTCTTGTAACCTACTTTATGACTTAATCATTACAGACCTCGTTCTATAGCATCATAAGTTGGATGGTATTTTATTATGTGAATTGAACCAGTCAGTACCTAGTTTCCTATTTCAGTTGTTTTCAGTATTGTACACAGAGCTGCAGTGAACATTGATTGCTAAATCTTTGCCCATTGCCATAATATTTTCTTTATAATAAAATATTGGAAGAGATCAACAGTGAGTACAGCTTTAAGCCTTTTAGTATCTATCATAAAACTGCCCTTCAGAAATGTTGTGCCAATATATATTCTTACTGGTCCTGTTTTTATTAATCAGAGATGTACAGTGGAATCCTCTTGTGAGATAGGAGTTAGATTCTAAAGTCAGTATAAAAAGTGAAAATTATGAATGGTCAAAGATATCCCTGCAGATCTCTTAAGTTTCAAATGAAGTAAAGTATACTGTTTTTTATATTACAGTTGTTCCTGTAGCATTGGAACAGATTGCAGTTTCTTTATTTGACCACCAGCTGAGTCAATTACCTTGTGATTAGAGGCCATGTTACAAAAAACAAGCTTTGGAGGTTTTTTTAGCCAAGCTTATTTTGCTGAATCCTCTTGTAAAATACTGTCTGCCTACCAACCACAGCTACTGATAAGCATGAAAGACAAGTGCTAACTCTGCTGATCCCAGAGTAGTCCACCCAGTAGCAGAGACACCGCTTGTTTATTTCGTTTATTTATGCCTCTTTTTCATTCAAAATATATGATCGTATACATTTGCCAACATGTGCCAGGCACTATGATAAGTTCTAGGATTAAAATGCCTGGGCAGAATAATCAAGAGTAAATACAGTTTTCCACCAGGTTTTTGGAGCCCGCTCTCTCAGCACCCTATCTATGCCTGCTGGAGGGCATTCTGACCAGTATGGCTCAAGCTTGGTGTCCAACTTGCCCCTTCCAGGAGGTCCATACATTAACCCTCTACTCGTCCCAGGTGCCAGGCAAGGCAAGCCTATCTGTTTTTATTCTGCCCAAATTTCTCCAACCTTTTGTACTGCCCATTCTACTTTCTGAACAATGACGGTGATGAAATTGTAATGTTACATTACTGTTACTTATTAAGTATTTGCTGTGTGCCAGGCATTGTCCACAGCAATGGACAATTTGATCTTTTGATCTTCACAGTAACCCTATGAAGGATGTATTTTTATCTGCATTTTATACATAAGGAAACTGAGAGTTAGAGAAGCTTTAGGCCTCATAACCAACAAGTGGTAGAACTGGGATTCACATCTATGTCTGACTCCAAAGCTAGTACCTTTTCTACCACTCTACCCCTAGGCTGTCTTCCCCACTGAAACATCTGTGCCATAGATCCTCTCCTGCCGATTTTTTATCAGCCTGACTGGTCTTGAAATTTTGATGAAACTGACAGTCAAGGATCTCTTTTCTGATCTACACAGGCCTACCATGGCCCTGTTCTGCATCCTCAAGTTGGGGATGGAAGACCTGGCTGCCTCTCCTTCTCTAACCCCAGAGATGGGGTGAAGGGTTGTGAGCTCTTCCCTAGTCCCCACACACAGTACACCTTTGCCTCTGATGCTTCACCCCCCCATAGCCCAGATTGCAGCCAGCTCCTGGGGCACTTGTTTCCTCTGCTGATTCTCTCTGCAGACTGAAGGCTCCTCGGGGGCAACAGAGAAAGTGAAGAAGGGGTTGTCTGACTTCCTAGGGGTGATCTCAGACACCTTTGCCCCCTCACCGGACAAAACCATTGACTGCGATGTCATCACCCTGATGGGCACACCCTCTGGCACAGCTGAGCCGTATGATGGCACCAAGGTATTTACTGGCAACCTCCTTTACAGGTACCTACCGGCACTGGGCTTTAGCTTCCAACCTGTACTCAAAAAAGTGATACATATTTAGGCCAAAAAATATAGTTGTATAACTAAATCGGAGAATACTGATAACAAGGAGATGATAATTATTTCTAAACCCATAATCCTATCACCCAAAGAGAACTGCTGATTTTTCATTAGTATACAAGTATAACCTTCCTTTCTTTTTGTTTGAAAATATAGGTGAAGATAGTTTGGATTTTTTTCTTTATAACAAAAAAAACACTTTATATGCAATTTTGCAACCTGTTTTTAAGAAAATTACAACAAATTATTAGCATCTTTCTTAATCACCGTCATTTGTAATGTCTTTAAATTCTTGCGGGTGAATATAGTATCATTTATTCAGTCATTTCCCTAGTGTTGCCCATTTGGATTCCTTTCATCTTTCAGCCGTAAAAAGGAACACTATGGAGAGCATCTTTGGAGGAATAACCTAATCTACATTTGGGTTATTTAAAACTAATTTCCAATAGGAATAAATGTAAAGGTGGGAAGGTGTGTTCAGAGCACTTAAATCAACAATAGTAGTATATTTCTGCTGCATTTAATTTTCTCATCATTACTTCTATTTTTTTTTTTTTTTTTTTTTTTAAGATGACTGGTAAGGGCATCTTAACCCTCGACTTGGTGTTGTCAACACCACGCTCTCCCAAGTGAGCCACGGGCTGGCCCCTCATGGAGTGTTATCTTCTAAATTCAGTGTGGTATCGGGCTGGCCCATGGCTCACTTGGGAGAGTGCGGTGCTGATAACACCAAGGCCACAGGTTCGGATCCCTATATAGGATGGCTGGTTAGCTCACTTGGGAGAGCGTGGTGCTGACAACACCAAGTCAAGGATTAAGATCCTCTTACTGGTCATCTTTTTTAAAAAGTAATAAATAAATAAATTCATTGTGGTGTCATGGCAGTTTGGCCATCAGAGGATCTTCCCACATTGAATTTCTATTCCAAACGTACTGATTTTTCAAGGATATTTTTCAGCCCTAGCATTAATGGCACCACTTAGTAAACATGTGAATGGAATTGTGAAAATGTTTTAATGGTAGGATTTTAAATTATAGCAACAGTGAATTGTTACCAAAACCACTTGGTGAAGTTCTGGTGCCGATAAACAGCTCGTGCTTCACGTGATACTGAGGAAGGAAGATGGGGCTTTCTGTTGACCAGCTCAAGTTTGCCACCCTGTGGCTCTAGTGGGAACACAGCTTACAGATCACTTGATAGACTGGCTATAAAACTAAGAAATTCTTAGGGCCAGCCTGTGGCTCAGTTGGGAGAGTGTGGTGCTAACAACACTGAGGCCACGGGTTCAGATCCCTATATAGGGATAGCTGGTTCTCTCACTTGGGAGAGTGTGGTGCTGACAACACCAAGTCAAGGGTTAAAATCCCCTAACTGGTCATCTTCTCAAAAAAAAAAAAAAGAAGAAGAAGAAGAAAGAAATTCTTGACGAATGGTTTTAATTTGGGGGGACTTGCATTATTTCAAATTTTGCCCCTAAATTTGGACCTTATTTATATATTTACACTAACATTTTTCAAATTTTACATGCTTCAAAAGCATTTTATACATATAATTTTGTATCCTGCTTACATTATATTTTTTAGTTCCCAGGGGTGGAATACTGGGTGAAAGTCCCAGTTTTGGACTCCTTGTCCAGTGCCCCACTCCCTGTACTAAAGTGTTAATTGATAAGTGCTGTGTGAATTTGGTAGCTAACAGAGAAGCTGGGTTGTGTTTGACTGGATACACAGGAAGAGATGATATGCTCTTTATCTCTAGCACCCCAGAATTTCTCTTCTTTCACTTCTGTTTCTTACAGGCTCGCCTCTATAGCCTGCAGTCAGACCCAGCAACTTACTGCAATGAACCAGATGGTGAGAGAGTATCAGTGAGGGGGTGGGCTTGTAGGGCGGGTAAACCAAACAGGTCTGGGCTGTGGACCCTGTTTGTCTCAGGTAGCAGAGGCCAGGTTTCCCCTATGCAGGGGGACCAGAGCGGGACTAGTAGGAACCTTACACCCTATGGGATGGGTTGATTTTCCCTTTTCCTCCCGGAACCCAAGCTGTCTTCATCCCCTCTGCAGAAACTTTGCTCCTCTTGTCCTTCAGCCTCTTAACTTAGCCTCCCTCCTAGCCCTGCTGCCCTGCCGGCCTTCCCTTCAGCTCTTGTTTGCTAAGCCCCTGCTATGCAGCACCCCCATGCTGGGAACTGGAGGTCAGAAATGAGTGAAATCCTCAACCCATTCCAGCCTTCCAGGAACTGGCTGTTAAGAGGGTGAAACAGGGGCCAGTCCGTGGCTCACTTGGTAGAGTGTGGTGCTGATGACACCAAGGCCATGGGTTCAGATCCCTATATAGGGATGGCCGGTTAGCTCATTTGAGAGAACATGGTGCTGACAACGCCAAGTCAAGGTTAAGATCCCCTTACTGGTCATCTTTTAAAAAAAAAAAAAGCCGGGGGGAGAAACCGGAAATAGTGAATAAAGCAGATAGTAGAGAGTGGAGTGACTTTCCACAGAAAGATGGGGACACTGGAGGCCCAGAGGAATGGCACCCAACCCATCCTGGGGAATCTAGGAAGTGGCATTTGAGTTTTAAGGATAAATTAGAGGTAAACTAGTTTTGCTTTTAGAAGTGGTACAGGGTATTCAGGGAAGGCAACAGTACATCTCAAGGTCCAGAAAGAACAGGAAGCACCTAGCCTTTTGGTAATGCTGGATTAAAGGGTGTGTGTGGAGGAGTGAAGGCAGTGAGAGCTGGGAGGAGCCAGATTGTGAAGGGCTTTGTGTGCCAGACTAAGCAGTTTGAATTTTGTTCTGAAAGGCTTGCGGTAGTAGTCCTAGAATTTTTTTCAGTCACAAAGTCTTTTAAAAATTGGTTGAAGGGGCTGGCCGATTAGCTCAGGTTGGTTAGAGCATGGTGCTAATAACACCAAGGTCAAGGGTTCAGATCCCTTTACCAGCCAGCCACAAAAATAAATAAATAAATAAAGGCTGTTGAAAGTGACAAGCCTTCTCTCATCAAAATTGTGTGTGCAGTATGGAAATCCTCTGGCCCTTTGAAGCCCATCCATGAACACCAACTGAAAAAAGCCCTCCCATAGAGAACTACTGAAGGGTTTTGAGGCCTGAGGTGATCATATTTTGCATTTTGTACTACACTTGATCTTAGCCAAAAGGCCGAGAAGCGATATGTTTTGCATTTTGTAAACAGCCCTTGGGGCAGTGTTGTGAAGGCTTAAATAGAGTGAAAGACAGAAACAGGGAGACCAATTAGGAGGCTTGGTGTAGGAATCCTCATGTCCAAGTTAAGGCCACAGCCTATGAAGAGGAAGGTATGCATATAAGAGACACTGAGAAAGCAGAATCCAGAGTGATTGGATGAGGAAGGAGCCAGGGTGGCCCCTGGGTTTCCAGTGGATAACTGGGTGGGAAAAAAAATGAGCACATGTTGTGTTTGCAGCATCTGTGCAGGTAGAAGTATCCAGGAGACCCCTGGACTCTGGGATCTGGAGCCCAGAAGGATAGTCTGGATTGCAAAGAGAAAATTCTTGGTGGAAGGAGGTTGAAACTCTTAGTTTAGTGGAGATAATCTTGGGAAATAGTAAAAAGTGAGGAGATAAGGAAAGGAAAATGAGCCCATGAAGACTCAGGTGGAAAAACCAGAACAGTGAGAGGAAAAGAACAAAGGTGTAAGAAGCCAGGAGAGAAGGGGCCTTCAAGAGTAAGGCTCCCAGAGTCAGAAACTGTAGAGCAGTTGCATGAGGGAGGGTAGAGAAGTAGCTGTGGATCTGGCCACTGGGGCCACTGGTGACGTGAGAGTAGCTGTTTCAGAGGAGATTCAGTAGCCAGTGCAATGGGCTAAAAAGCAAGCAGGGATAGGAAGAAATGGAGACTGCAGCCCCTTCTGAAGATCTTAGGTGCCACACCCTGATTTCAGTGAGGCCCACCCACCTCTTCACCCAGCCTGACCCCTCATCTTGAGCCAAATGGCTTTGAAAAAACCCTTAAGCTTTCTTCATTGTCCATGTCCAGACCCAGGTACGTTCTGTAGGTCTAGTGTTCTTTCTCAGACCCAGGGAACTGACCACCAGTGTCTGTCCCTCTGCAGGGCCCCTGGAATTGTTTGATGCCTGGCTATCCCAGTTCTGCTTGGAGGAGAAGAAGGGGGAGATCTCAGAGCTCCTTGTAGGCAGCCCCTCCATCCGAGCCCTCTACACCAAGATGGTGAGGGCCCAGCCATCAGGACCTCAGCCAGCTCCAAGCTTGAGGTGTTGGGAGGTGGAAGGGATGTGTCCAGAGTCACTGCAGACTCCTCTAGCCCAGAGAGCAGCAGGAGACCCTGTGGTGCCAGATCAGCCCTGTTCTGAGCCAAGAACCCACATGGGAGAAGCTAGTTTTCCAGGCTTCTGGCAGTCAGATAATGGTGAGAAATGGCCAGCAAAGCCTGATAGGAGTTCTTTTCTCCCTCCTTGGCCAAGCTGGGCCAGGGAGGTGGGTCTGGCTGAAACTTCAGTGGGGCGGAAGTGCTCTGACAATCCTAAGCTACTTCCTGTATCTGAAATCCAGAGGGACTGGAAGCAGGCTGATGAGGCTGGGGACAGACCTCACATGACCACTCCCAAAGTCTCACCTCCTCTTTCCTCTCCCTCCAGGTTCCAGCAGCTGTTTCTCATTCAGAATTCTGGCATCGGTATTTCTATAAAATCCATCAACTAGAGCAGGTATGCTGGTCTATCCTAGGTAGGTCCCCACTCAGCCCTGGGGGAAGCAGGCTGGATTTTGTTGAGGGAAGAAAGGGACACTGGGTGCCAAGAGTTCTGGGGTCAGGACCAGGGTCTGGGAAGAGTGTGCTCTGACTGCTCCTGGCTGTCTGCACCCCCCCACTCAGGAACAGGCCCGGAGGGATGCCTTGAAGCAGCGGGCAGAACAGAGCATCTCTGAAGAGCCTGGCTGGGAAGAGGAAGAAGGTAAGAGGTGTTCAGAAGTGACGGGTCCTATCTTTGAAGGACTGTCTGGGCCATGCTCTCTGAAGCCTGGAGAAATGAGGCACCCCAGGGAAGAGCAAGGAATGAGAACAGTGTTCGTATGTGCTGAGGATAGAGCTAACAAGAAGATGTTGAATAAGGCTGGTAGAATCCCAGGTTTAGGTACAGAAATCACTTGTGTCAGTTGGAGCAGATTTCCCTGTCAGCCCATGGACCAGCTGCTTTATAGTCACTTAGGGAGCTTATTGAGAATCCAGATTCTCTTCCCACCTTCTAAATAAGACTCTGTGGGGATGTGGCCAAACATATATTTTTAACAAGCTCCCCTGATAATATTAATGCCCAGCCAGGCTTGGGACCCACTGGGTTAGGGAGCGAGGCTCTACCTGGTAGCTGAGCTTACAACAGCACATGGAGCCACCTGAATGATGTAATATTAACATATTTATTAAGTGCTATACTCTGTGCCCAGGCTTGACATGCATAGTCCTTACACGACTCCATCCCTCTTTTACTAATAAGGCAGGTAACTGAAAAGTTAAGAGACTTGCCCAGTCATGCACTTAGGATGTAACAGAGCCTGACCTGAACCCCAAACTGACTCAATTTCGAGCCTTGGCTTTTTTTTTTTTTTTTTTTTTTTAAAGGTGGGGCAGGGCCGGCCCGCTCCCACCGAGGGTTCGGATCCCATGTGGTGACCGGTTCCCGCTCACTGGCTGAGCTCGGCGCGGGCGCAACACCGAGGGTTGCAATCCCATTGCCGGTCCCCGGTATGGGCGCGACACCGAGGGTTGCGATCCCATTACCGGTCAGTAAAAAAGACAAAAAGGAAAAAAAAAAAAAAGGTGGGGCCTTTAAGAAGGGATTAGATTGTGAGGACTGTGCCCTTGTGACTGGATTGACCCATGGTTCTGGTGGTTCTCCTTCACAAGGAGAGTGAGCGAGAAAGTTGGTT